GTCAGAGGAGACAAATCAAAAAACAAAAAAAACAAGCCCCAATTATATGTTGTTCACAATAAATCCACTTTGAATATAAACGCATTGAAATAAAGTGATGGAGAAAGATATACTATACTAACATTAGTAAAAGAAAGCAGGAGAAGCTACACTAACTTCAAATAGAGCATACTTCAAATCAAGGAATGTTATCAAGGACAAAGAAAGGCATTGCATAATGATAACAAGATCATTTCTTCAAGAAGATATAACAATCAATAAAGTTTATGCACCTAACAACAGAGGCGAATACATATGAAGAAAAACTGATAGAAGTGCAAGAAGAAACAGATGAACCCACAATCATAACTGGAGACTTCAATACCCCTCTATCAGAAGTGGACAGATTCAGCAGGCAGGAAATCAGTAGGGACATAATTGAACTCTACAACACCATGAATCAAATGGATATCATTGAAATATACAAACTGCTTCATGAAATAACAACATACACATTCATAAAAAGCTCACATGAAACATTCACCAAAATATACCAAATTCTGTGCTATCTTAACAAACTCAAAAAAATAGAAATCATTCACTGTCTGTCCCATATCACAATGGAATTAAACTAGACACAAATAAGAGAAAGATAGGTAGGAAGTCCCCAAAAGTGTGGAAATAACAACACATTTTTGAATAAGACATGTACCAAAGATGATCTCAAGATAAATTTTAAATATTGGAAAATAAATAAAAATAAAAACACCTATGAGATGCAGCAAAAGCAGTTCTTGGAGGAAAATTTATATCATTAAAGGCATATGTTACAAAATAAGAAGGATCTAAAAGCAATAATTTAAACTTTCCACCTTAAGAAACTAGAAAAGGAAGAGTAAATTAAATCCAAAGTAAGCAGAAGAAAATAAAAAGAATGAGAGCAAAAATCAGTGAAATGGAAAACAGGAAATGAATAGAAAAATCCATAAACCCAAGGTTGTTTCTTTGAAAAGATCAATAAAATTAATAAACCTTTAGCCAGACAAAGAAATAAGAGCAAAAACACAAATTACTGTCAGAAATTAAAGAGGGGACAATGCTGCAGATCCCATGAACATTAGAAGGATTATAAAGTACTACAAATAACTCCATGTATACAAATTTGATAACCTAGATTAAAATTACCAATTCATTGAAAGACACAATCTACCAAAACTCATACAAGAATAAACAGGCAATTTTAACAATTTTCATGTTCCAGGACAGGAAGACTCAATATTGTCAAGACGTCAGATCTTCCCTATTTGCTCTATAGATTCAGTGCAATCCGATCCAATGTTTCAGCAAATTATTTTATCAATATCAACAAACTAATTCTAAAGATTATTTGTGGAGCAAAAAAATCCACAATATCTAACACAATATCGAAGAAAAAGGAGAAAGTTGGAGGAATAACGCTACCCTACTGCGAAGACTATCATAAAATTACGATAGTCATGACAGTGTGGTATTTTAAAAAGATGGATCAATGGAACAGAATAGAGAGCTCAGAAATAAACAGACACAAAAATAGTTAACCTATCTTGGAAAAAGGACCAAAGGAAATACAGTGGAGCAAAGATAGTCTCTTTAGCAAATGATGTTAAAACAACTGGACAACCACAAGCACAAAACAAATCTAGACACAGACTTTACACCCTTCACAAAAATTAACTTGAAATAAATCATAGACCTAAGTATAAAATATAAAACTCCTAAAAGATAACATAGCAACAAAACCTAGATGACCTTGGGTGATGACTTTTTAGATACAACACAATAGACAACACACATTAAAAAATAATAAGACAGACTTCATTAAAATTAAAACTTCTGGCCTTTTGAAAGACAATAAGAGAAATAGAAAATAAGCCACAGACTGTGATAAAACATTTGCAGAAGACACATCTGATAAGAGACTGTTATCCAAAATATACAAAAAAAAACTCCAACAAACCCATCTTAAAACTCAACAATAAGGAAACAAATTATATTTTATGAAAATATTTATTTAGTAAGAATAGGTATTATGTTCTGATATTTGACAAGGCAAGTCTTTCATCATTAATACTTTTTGTTATAAATTCTTTTTTCCACCATTGTCTCATATTTTGTTTTAAAACTGTTTAATTATGGTTTATATTCAATATTATCTTGTATTATTTTCAGGTGTATAGCACAGTGGTTAGACAATCATATACTTTACAAAGTGTTCCCCCTGATATTTCCAGTGCCCGCCTGGCACCATACACAGTTATTACAATATTATTGACTATATTCTCTATGCTATACTTTACCTCCCTGTGACTATTTTGTAACTACCAATTTCTAATTCTTAACCCCTTCATGTTTTTCACCCACTTCCCCAACACCACTCCCCTCTGGCAACCATCAGTCTGTTCTCTGTGTTTGTGAGTCTGATCTTTCACAAAGGAGCAAAGCTAATACAATGCAGAAAAGATTTAATACAATAAATGATGCTGAAACAACTAGACATGCAAAAAAAATGAATCTAGACATTGGCTTTACAACTCCAGAAAAATTAATTCAAAATGAATCTATGACCTAAATATAAAACACAAAACTATATTAACTCCTACAAGGTAACAGGAGAAAACCTAAATGACCTTAGTATTAAAAAGACTTTTTAGATACAACATCAAAAGCATAATTCAAGAAAGAAATATTGTACAACCAGGACTTAATTAAAGATCTATGCTTTGAGAAAGATGATGTCAAATGAATGAGAAGAAGTCACAGACTGGGAGAAAATATTTTCAAAAGATAAATCTGATTTTAAAAAAACAAACTGTGATCCAAAATAGACAAAGAACTCTTAAAACTCAGTAAGAAAATAAACAAAATTTAAAAATAGTCCAAATAGCTTAACAGATACTTCACCAAAGAAGATACACAGATGGCAAATATGCATATGAAAGTTACTCCTCACCATTTTTTGAGAAATGAAAATTAAAATAATGAGAAACCATTGCACACATATCAGAATGGCCAAAATCCTGAACACTGACATCACCAAATACTGAAGATAACATGGGGCAACAGGAGCCCTCATTCATTGCTGGTAGGGAATCAAAATGGTACAGCCACTTTGGAAGACAGTTTGGCTGTTTATTATAAAACTAAAGTACTCGCCCTGGCTCGTGTAGCTCAGTGGATTGAGTGGCAGGTTGTGAAGCAAATGGTCACCGATTGGATTCCCAGTGTAGGTCACGTGCCTGGGGTGTAGGCCAGGTCCCCAGTAAGGGGGCACACGTGAGGCAACCACACATTGATGCTTCTCTCCCTCTCTTTTCTCCCTCCATTCCCCTCTCTCTAAAAATAGATAAATAAAATCTTTAAAAAAAAACCTAACATACTCTTACTGTAAGATCCAGTAATTGCACTTCTTAGTATTTACCCAAAGAAGCTGGATACTTATTTTCCCACAAAAAGCTGCACAGGAATAGGTATATAGATAATGTAAAGTTTTATTCATAATCACCAAAACCTGGGAGCATCCAAGATGTCCATAAGTAAGTGAATGAATGAACTGCACTACATCCAGACAATGGAGTAGTACTCAAAACTAAAAAAAAGAAATTAGCTATCATTGCAATGAATGACATAGTGTAAACTCAAATGCATATTACTAAGTGAAAGAATTCAATATGGAAACGCTACATACTATAGGATACCAACTCTATAACTTCTAGAAAAACTATGGAGACAGTATAAATTCAGTGGTTGCAGGGTTTGAGGTGGGGGCGGATAAGGCAGAGCAGAGCAAAGCAAATTTTTAGGGCAGTGAAACTATTCTGAATAGCTTATAATGATGCATTCATGTCCTTATACCTTGTCCAAACCCATTGAATACTATGAAAGAGTAATCTCCCTTGTACCCTAACACTTTCTCTGCAAGTACAGAATTACATAACAGGGCCAAGTCTTCAGACGAAAAATCTAAGTTCACGGCAGGAGCTTGTAGGGCCTTGAATGCCTTTGTTCCTGATCAAGATTTTAATGGAGACAGGATTCTAAAATAAACCAAAATGCATGGTGTGGTAGAATGATTTCTGTATTTGGGAATGAAATACTTCCCTAAAATCTTCTCTCCACTACTAATTGTGAGACTGAATAAAAGATATCTGATAGAAGATTTATAGAAATTAATCTATAAAATTCATTATAAACTTAGTGCTTTGCCAGAGAAATACTTATAAATCTAACCAATCCAAAACACATCTAATTAATTGGCTGACATTCCCAAATTATGTTACTCAAAGTTCTTGATTAATCTGCATATAGCCAAGGATCCAGACAATAAACCAAAATAGCACAAATATTAAGGGCCTGGTTGCAGAATCAATTATACACATTTTCCAAAAGCCTATGAACTCAAAACTGAGAGCGGTGGAAAGGCTCTCTCCAGGAACTTGCAAAAGCAAAGAAGCCATGAATCTAAAGCTCCTGAAGAGAATACAGGTTTTAAATGTTCAGACTGTGTATCTGGACCTGGGGTTGGGGCAGAAGGCTTTAGATGACGACCGGAGGAGGAATTAACTGTCAAGATCTTCTTGGGAACTTCTCCTGGCTGAAACCAACCACGAGTGAGAAGACAAATCGCCACAAGTCTGGAAGCTAGGTTGTAGTTTCGTCGTCTTCTCCTTAACGAGTCAGTTGTAGCAATTTTGTCGCCCAAACTGTCCCACTCACTGGGTCAACCGAGCTGCAAGGCCTTATGAGTTGGGAACAAGTGGCCAGACCCGGCACAATCTCACACTTCGCTAGGTAGCCATCTTCTCCGGCGACCGTTGCTAAGGAACCGAGGGCGAAGCTCCGAGACAGCCCTACCACAGTTTCCCCCGAGCTGGCCAAAGGCCTTCCGGGGAGTGGTTACATGAGCGACGTACGTAAGGGGCGGGACAGAGGCAAAACCGGACCAAGGAACTAGCTACATTCCAGGGCGCATGCGTGCAGTGAGGAGCGGCGGGATACGTGGAAGTGTTAAGCTGGCCGCGGAAAAAGATGGGGATATGGCAGCTGTAAATGGCCCTCCGAGCGTAACTCTGCGAGCAGCCACCCAGCGAAAGTTGCGGAGGTTTTCAGAACTGAGAGGTACCGAGGGAGAAACCCCAGTTCTCCCCGGCAGCAGAAAGGGAGGGTCGTTTAGGTGCCGGAAAGTTTGCTGGACTATCACTTCCTGGCTGGTTTTCTGTCACCTGTGGGCCAGGACGCTGGCCCAGGCATAGCTAATTCACCTTGAGTTTTTTATTCTTTTTCTGTCACTGTCCTTTTTTTACGTTTTGTTTGTTACTTTCTTTAACTTTATTCCTAGTAAAACGAAAACATAAAATAAGGAAAGAGGATAAAAAGAAAGTTGTTAACCTGACTCAGTGAAACTATAAATAAATGCGTTATGCATTTGGTTAGCTCATTAACAAAAGTTACTGAAAAATCTGGAAAATCTCTGTAAAGCATAGTGTTTTGACCCTTGCGATTGTGATTTTAGCCTTCTCTCACACCCATACCTGCTTCATCAACTTGCTCCATAATGCTTACTGATTAAAAAAGTAAAACATGGAAGAATTATGGATTAAAAATTAAAAGGGAGGTTTGTATCAAAAAAAATTTAACGATTATGCCACTTGTCATTCCTTGTACAACTGTGTAATAAAACTGGTTATTCTGGCAGACAAGTCCTACTAGGTAACCAATATAAACAATTTTTATCTTGTTTATCAATTAAAAAGAGTTTCCAACTGTCTCCCAACGGTTCAGTCTGTCTTTTAATGAGTTCATTTGGAAATTAGGAACTTTTCTTTTATTCCAAATTTCATGTCATACTCCAGGAGTCTTTGTAAAGTTGCATGGCTCCTCTTAAGGTAATAAAATTAAGTCCCCACATTTATAAACAGCAACGTTGTGTAGCAATGGATCTTTGGGTTGAATCTTTCTTAGCCAAGGAACACTAAATAGTTCTATTATATGAAAATTGATTTTCAAAGCTGGAAATTCATTTATTGCTTAAGAATTGAGGTAATGTTTAGAAAATTAAAGAACATCTCTTAATAGGGAAACATTACAAGTTTCAGAATATCTAAATAAATGGGTCTGTAGACCATAAAAGAAGAAAGTAATCTGAAAGAGAAAAAACAAAATTTGCGTACAATCCTCATTAGGACTATTTTGAGTCACACTAACTAGCTAGTAATTATTCCCTAACTCTCAAAAGCAGAAGACACATTTATGAAGATGATACTATTACTTCTTTTTACTCCTCTTTCCAAAAAGTAAACCTCTAACAGAATTCTTATACTTATCATTTCCTTTTTTTTTTTTTTTTTTTCCACATAGGCAAACCTGTGGCAGCTGGAGAATTCTGGGACATTGTTGCAATAACAGCAGCTGATGAAAAACAGGAACTTGCTTATAAGCAACAGCTGTCAGAGAAGCTGAAAAAAAAGGAGTTACCCCTTGGAGTTCAATATCATGTTTTTGTAGATCCTGCTGGAGCCAAAATTGGTACGCATTGGATTTGTATCATAGGTTCTGGAAAGAATAATCATTGAAGAAAACTTGTCCTGTGGTATGCAGTTATAAACTGCATATCTTTCCACCATAGTGTTGACAAACTAAAATGTTTTTATGAATTCACTAGTTTTTTAAAAAATGATAAAAGGCATTGCAACTTTCTTACACATTGTGACTTACCATGAAAAACTTCCAGAATTTTAAAAGAGAACTATCAATTTTAATAAAATTTACTCAGATGGTGAATAAGCCTTTGGACCTTATCAGTTGGGCCCTTAAGTTCTCTCCAAACTGTATTTTCTTCAGGAATTTACATGAGGAGATCAAATGGAGAAAAAAAAGTACTTGTATATACAACTTGACTTCTTGGGACCACAATGCAGAATGCAAAAAAGCATAGTCTTATGACTTGAGTATCATATGCACTTTAAAAATCCAGTTTAACTAAAGTTTGCCTTTTGACCTTCCATCGCAAAAAAATACATGCTGTTTTTGTAGGGGGCAGTTTCTGTGTAATACTAAAGCTGAAGCCCCTTGATACCAGAGATCGGGTATCTGTATCTGACATCGACATAGTTCTAATTAGCCAGTGTTGTATTCCCCAGAGCTAGCAGTCAGTACTATGTGACTCCCATTGTACAGGTGAGACTCTGAGGCACAGAAAAAATAACTTGGCCAAGGTAACTAGTAAGTGATAGTTAAATTTAAGATGTTTTTGGGAAACCAGATTCTAAAAAAACTTTTTAAAAAGTGTGCTTAACTTGCATACTTGATTATAATTTGGGATACTTATTTAAATAGGTTTTCCAATTTGTAATTGCAAGTGAAATATATACTTAGTTTTCTAGTGTTGCGGATTGCTACTTTATTTCTTCATTTTGTATTAATAACTTTGGGAGAAGATCAGCTCTTATTACCAGGGTCAATATCTGGTTTTCATTGCTAATTGTTTTTATTTAATTGCTATGAAATGTGTATTTAACTTGATTCTTTTGCCCATATTTTTGCGCTCTGCTGAGTCAGTTATAGCCAACAAGTCAAATCTTCAAATTTATCATAATCACAAAATTTTAGTAGGTTTCTATGAAATAAGTTGTGCATTTTAACTTTATTTTTAAGGAAATGGAGGATCGACGTTTTGTGCCCTTCGATGTTTGGAAAAGCTATATGGAGATAAATGGCAGTCTTTTACCATCCTGTTAATTCACTCTGGTAAAGTTATACTTTACTAATTTACAGTTTCTTTTAAGTTTTTTACCTTTGATATCTCAGGAACTTCTTTCTCTCTTACAATTACTTTTTCTTTTTCTTTTTGTCTTTGAAGTTATTATGATTTGAAAACAAATATTTCATGTTTTTCCTAATATTTTTAGTTTGTAAGTAGCATAACGCTTTTCACAATATTTATTTTTAAAAGTGTAGATAAGATACAATAACTATTTATGCATATTGTTTTTAGTATGTATATACAAAATGATGTTCCAAAGACTGAACTTATCAAAATGTGAACATTTTTCAGTAATTCTTTGGAAGGGATTCTTGTTATTAGGCAGAGGTTGGTTTAGCACTGTGATCACCACGCTATTGACAAACCCTTATATCATGCATTTTTATTTGTTTAGGTAGACAAAGTCTACAATTCTTAAAGGAGTTAAAAGAAAAAAAAGGAGTGACAAAACATGGAGCTGACAAGAAAATGTACGAGGGGGAAATTACGAATAGAAGAGACATTTTAAAGCAGAAAAGTAGGAAAGAAATAATCACAGAAGAAAGGACAGTGTTTTTTTTAATTGGTTAAATTGAGTTGTATAAAAATTTTGGTTATATGACCACCTTTGTTACTTTCTCTGTGAATCAGGCTGATGAAAACTTTGTCATTGACTGCCACCATGATTTTCAATGCATTTTTCATTTCTTATGATTCATACACAGAACAGTGATTTTTTTTGTAAAGATGATATCAAATAAAGCATCCAAGTTCTGGTTTTAAGGCTGACTGAAAAAGTTAAAAAAAAATCAAATTTATAGTTTTATTCCAGAACAAGTATTATTATTACCAATGTAGTAAAAGTTAAACTAGGTACCAGAAAATATATTGTTAATTTTTATAATGCTAAACTTTACTATTGGTTAGTCTTTGGAAAAGGACAAAGTGGAAAATATTAGCTCCCATTTGTTGAACAAACTATGTGTCAAGTGCTTTACATGTATAATTGATCTCATAAAATATGACAGCAAGTATTATTCTACATTTGCTTATTTGGAGTGATTCCAAAGATAAACAACTAAAAAGTAGTGAACCTCAGTTTGAACCCCATATTATCCGACTCTAGTATGTAAGACAGCCTCTTGCTATACTTACTTAACATAAAAATGATATAACCTATTTAATTTACTTAAGAATAACACACTTTTCAAGGAATTAAGGAGTCATAAGGCTCATCTTAGAGGGAAAATCTATTTAAATTAAAGACAAGTATAAATTGTAAAACACTTTCATAAATCACTTTTACTTCCTTTAAGTGTATATAATAGAAGAAAGACACTACATGTGGAAATTATTGTTTAATAGATAGTGTTGGAATTGGTACCTTTTTTTTTACCCTGTGGAGTGGATTCTTATTTCAGGAATTTAAACATGGTTGAAATTTATTGTTTAAAATGTAGTAATGAGGTCATGTTTTAGCCCATAGGCCGTTATACAGTGAATTCAGAACAATTCACATGCTCTAAAATGTATGATAATTCTTTTTTAATCTAGAATTTTTTAAACTACAATATGTCCAAGGGCTACAGGATAATTTCTCTTTGAATTTACATTCTAGAATTTATTATTCCTTCCTGAGTTATAGTAATATATTGTATATATTAAATATTTTTAGAGATATTTTGAGTTGCTTCTGATGCCCCTGAGTTTTTAAAATCTTATAAACATTTGTTTAATTTTATAGGTGGCTACAGTCAACGCCTTCCAAATGCAAGTGCTCTGGGCAAGATTTTCACTGCTTTACCTTTTGGTAAACCCATTTATCAGATGTTAGAATTAAAACTAGCCATGTACATTGATTTCCCCTCACATATGAATCCTGGGGTTCTGGTTTCCTGTGCAGATGATATTGAACTTTATAGTATTGGAGAATCTGAGTTTATCAGATTTGACAAGCCTGGCTTTACTGCTTTAGCTCATCCTTCTAGTTTGACTGTAGGTACCACACATGGAGTATTTGTCTTAGAACCTTCTAATTGTTTAGAACACAAAGACCTTGAATACAAATGTTGTCATCGCTTCCTTCATAAGCCCAGCATAGAAAAGATGCGTCAGTTTGATGCTGTGTATAGACCTGGAAATTGTTTTCAACAGGACTTTTCTGGGGGTGACACTCCCTCTCTTAAATTAGAATCTGAGTATGTATATACAGACAGCCTATTTTACATGGATCATAAATCAGCAAAAAAGTTACTTGCTTTTTATGAAAAAATCGGCACACTGAAGTGTGAAATAGATGCCTATGGAGACTTTCTGCAGGCTCTGGGACCTGGAGCAACTGCAGAGTATACCACAAACACATCCAATGTCACTAAAGAAGAATCAGGATTGGTAAACATTAGGCAGAAAATATTTCACTTTCTTAAAGGGACATCACTGAATGTTGTTGTTCTTAATAACTCCAGATTCTATCACATTGGAACAACTGAAGAATATTTGTTTCACTTTACTTCACATAGCAGTTTGAAGTCAGAGCTTGGTTTACAGTCCATAGCTTTTAGCATCTCTCCAGCAATACCAGAATGCTCTGGTAACACATCCTGTATCATTCAAAGTATATTAGATTCAAGATGTTCTGTGTCACCTGGCTCAGTCGTGGAGTATTCCAGATTGGGGCCTGATGTTTCAGTTGGGGAAAACTGCATTATTAGTGGTTCTTATATCATGGCAACAGCTGTCCTGCCTGCATATTCCTTTGTGTGTTCCTTAAGCTTGAAGATGAATGGACACTTAAAGTATTCAACTATGGCATTTGGAGTGCGAGACAACTTGAAAAAGAATGTTAAAAAATTGTCAGATATAAAGTCACTTCAATTCTTTGGAGTCTGTTTCCTGTCATGCTTAGATATTTGGAATCTGAAAGTTACAGAGGAGCTCTTCTCTGGAAACAAGACATGTTTGAGTTTGTGGAGTGCTCGTATTTTCCCAGTTTGCTCTTCTTTGAGTGATTCAGTTACAACATCCATGAAGATGTTAGATGCTATACAAAACAAGTCAACATTTAGCCTGAAAAACTTTAAGCTGTTGTCCATTGAAGAAATGCTTATCTACAAAGATGTAGAAGACATGATAACCTATAGAGAGCAAATTTCTCTGGAGATTATTTTGAATAGAAAGTCTGATTTAGAGACATCTTAAATATCATATCAATTATTGCCTTTCTTGATTGAGCAAGATTGCAACTACAAGGGTTTTCTGTAGATGTTTGCCTTTGTTTTATTGAAGTAGTTAATGAATATTATATTAACAATTGCTGCAACACAACATTAATAACACAAAAATACAGATAAACCAAGTTTGAAGAAAATATTTCAAGGATCTAAGTTCAGGGAAGGGATTTTGGGATGTTTATCACTTTTAATTTTTCTTTTAATTAAGATGGGTATGTAGAGCATTGTTTTGTTCACTTTAATACTGTAATAATTTTAAGGGTAATTTTCTAAACGTACCTTTACAGTTTTGTTTTTTATCTTGTGGGCTTCAGTTACAATAAAGCTCTAAATGTTTATTGGCAGTTTTCTCCTCAAATGTAGCAATTCTATTGTGACTAATAAAAATAGCATACTGTAGAGTCCTCAGTTGGAGGAATGCTGTAGAAATACATTTTCAGGAACAGATTTATAGCTGACAAATTAATGCTTAAATTATTGTGATTATCTTAATTGCTCAGTAATGAACAGCTCTGAAATTCATGATAAAAATCTGTCTCATTTATTGGTCTTATCAAAATGAAACAAAAGGGTATACATGTTATTTTTATCCTTATAAACTTGAACATGTGTTTGTATATCTTAAAAATTATTCCTTAATTTTCCATGTATAGGAAAACACACACACAACTCAATTCTCAGTGCGGGGAGGATGGTAGGAATAATTGGAATTCACTGATGATAATATGTTTATTTTGGACATTGCTTTTCATCCTCTAATCCCTTTAACAAAACTGTTAAATTACTAGATGGACTGATCTTACTTCCCGTTTCTTATTTTCTGTCCATCCACTAGTGATGATGCTGAGAGGCAATAAATAGCCGAAAGGTAGACAGCAGGAAGGAGCAAGAAGACTAGAAAGACAGAAAATACACAGATGACAGCTTCAAGAAAATAAAAATTGACTGGCATCCCAAGTTTTGTGTTCCTATTTTGATAAAATCACGTATGCTAAATGTCTTCATATCAAAGTCTAATATTAATTAGAGAAAAGATTCATAAGAGATTTGTATTTTAACATAAGTAAATTGTAATAACTGGTCTGTGCCACTTTTATATCAAATGTCAAAATGAAAATAATTATTTGGTAAACCAGAAGTGACTTGTTTGCAACTCTCAATTATACTATTTACCTTTTTTTTTCTTTTTTCAAGGTTCTTTCCAAGGACAAAATTAATTTATATGGTAGCTCTTGTTTAGCATTTATTGGTTTACTTGCACAGTTTTCAGAGGATATTGTGTGTTTATCATGTATTAAATGTTCAGTACTGTTTTTCACAGTATAATCTAAATCTATAATCTTTATATTTCACTGTACAATCTAAAGTGTCATCAGTTATTAAGAATCACCATTTTATGTTCTACTAAAAAAACACTACCAATAAAATATGACTCTATACTTTCTTTGTTACTTGAAGTTTTTATATTTATTTATTGGATATCTTTTAAGTGCACTTACAGATTTTTATCATTTCACCTGCTTGCAAGTATATACAAAGAAACAAAATGCATTATTGACTGTTCGAGACTTGGCATTCAGGGTCAAACTTTTCTGAAGAACTTTAAACTTGAAAGTGAATTGATATCCATGTGTTTCCACGCAGTACCATCTTCTGTGCTTCACACATACTGGTAAAGCTGCATTTCCTAAATGCCCCCACCATACTATCTGGATTTTCCTTCAAGCTGTGGATACCAGATAGCTGTTCTGCAAGTTTTTAATGCTATTTGACAAAAATCAGTTTCATTTTTGCCTCAATCATTAATTAAAAGAATGTGTCTTAGGCAGCAGGAGGTTCCTGACAAATTGGTGGTCACCGTTTTAAACAGCTCTGCATAGTCTATGCATAATAGTTTCTTTGAAATGTTGTCTTTTCTGAGAATGTGTCAGTGCCTCTTGCCTTGAGATACACTACTTGGTATGTAATACCATCTATGTATCACCAACGATGTACCTAACTCAGGTGATAATTCCAAGCATGTGTAAGTCAGAAATTGGACATTTCCTTAGATTTATTATTTTGTTTAATGAAATTACAGCCCTTACATCATATAGCCAATGTTTCTGAAGGATGGCTAGTATGTGTACCTAAACATATTACGTAAACTTACTGATGAGTTGATAAAATTAACAACTGAAAAAAGCATGGAAAAAATCCATTATTAATCTACCTTAAGCATTCATTTACCAAATTAAATAACCATAGACAGCAGCGTGGTGATGGTCAGAGGGAAGAGGGGGAAAGGTGGAGGAGGATAGGTAAAGGGGGAAAATGGGAACATCTGTAATAGTGTAAGCAATAAAAAAAATGCATTAATGTACATGCTAAATTGATATAAAACTTCAAAAATCCAAGTGATATGCTGAAAATCCCAAAATATTAATGGTATGAATCCAGTATTTTCAGAGCCTTTGGTGATCTGTTCATCTCCTGCAGCTAAGCAATACTGCCTGTGTTACATAAAGATTACCAAATTCAGCATAGACAGACCCAAAATCAAAACTCCCTGCTGCAAAATGCATGTCTGTAAGGCTATCACAGCTGATACCTGGTGTACTACGCATATCCAGGATGCAATATACCATGATGTCCTCTGGGCCTGAGCAACTTGGAGGCCCAGAATTTAGGTACCTTGGATACCTTGATATATATAGTCTAGTAGAATTAAAATGGAAAGAAAAAGCCAAAAAAGTTAATTTGCTCAAAATTGTCTCAAAGATTTTTAGATGTTCTTTTTGTTGTTCCTTAGCTAAATGAAACTGTCTTCATTGTGTGAAGAGCTAAATTATTAAAGACCTTTTTTAAATTTACTTGAAAGGTACATTTTAAAATTCAGTTAGTGCAAGAGAAATAATTGAAGCAACCATTACTTAACTTAATATTTTGTACCTCTAAAATTTTGTTTAGACAAAACCAATTTATATGGAGGTTGAGAACAACTCATTGTTTATCAGTAAAATGGTATTATTAATATTCCTTCCATTGATTATTGTAGAGGTTATTGCACATTCTCGCTCCAATATCAATGTGCTAACCTCTATATAGCATACTAGGTTCTTCATGTTTCTGTTCATTTGTATTCACAGAAATTTCTGATTAGTTTCTTAATATATCATGAGGAGCAAATTTCACCAGTATCTGGTGGGAAAGGATCAGTTCCATAAGTCACAACAAATTTGCCACATCAAGCATGCCAGTTTGTAGTCTAGTAGAACACTATTTGGGGTCTGGTTAAAAATTGGAATAAAGGAATAATAGAAGCTGCTGGTTTTCTTCTGCACTGATATTTGCAAGAGGTGAAGGCGGAGGATGCCTGTGAATTGGTCACACTTATCATCCACCTATAAGGCAGTTTGATTATTGACATTCATGTCTAAAGGTATTCATCCTGAGGGCATTATTGCACATGCAAGTAAATGATTGAAACTAAGAAACTTAATGTTTCCTTCTGGGCTGCTTGGACAAATAGTCTATCTTTTGCAGCCTGTGGCTGCAGAAATCTAGTAGCCTTCCAAAGCATAAAATTCAACCGTTCAAACAGCAATTTATCTCTGATTGCTGCAGACTGGTGCAATCCATCTGCTGTCATTTTCCAGCTTTCTGTGCCAGAATTATATTCCTTCAATTGTGCTTCAATGCATCACTGAAACAATCTAAACTCTAATGTCTATATTCTTTGGGCACTGTTCTATAGTGTGTTATACAGATCAGCTTGTTCATTCTCCAGTCTCCTTAAAGTTTCTTAAAACCTGTGCTACAACCAACACTGTGGCTAAGTAATATAAACGGTTTTTTAAAATATTTTTCTTCACTAGTAAATATTCTTTTCTCTCTGCAGAACATTCAGATGTTTCAAGTTAGTTTTCATTCCAAGAGAGTATCACATTGCCCAGAAAAGAATTAAAGCATTTACATCTTGAGGCAATTTTTTTTAACACACAACTCTAGAAATCAAGTAAGTATTCCTTTCATTTGCAGGTTGTGAAATGCTGCACTACTAAATGAGGTTTTACATGATTGGTTTCTTTCCTATTACTTTTAGCCCTGGGGTTTGAGAAAGTAAATTATATTCACCAATATGGTGTTCGTCAGAGAAGGTTTAAACAATTTTAATGAAATCTAGGACTAGAAAACTTTGACTACACAAAGAAATAATTATGATCATAACAGTGGTCCAAGTACAGATTTTAAATGTATAGGCACATTGACAAGGTCATAAATTAACTTCTAAAATTCACTACTTATATATCACTGGGATCAATTTTTAATGAAATTTCATAAGAAAGATCATCACTCATAATTGCCTAAAGTTGATAATTTCTAATTAACCATTATCCAGTAGAATCAAAGGCTGTGGGTGGAAGCTAGCCTATGAGAAGGGAAGTAAAAATTGTAACATTTTAAAGAAAGTCTTTTTCACTTGTTACAACTGCAGCTGTTTAAATGCAAAAGAAATATTTGCTGGAAGTTTTCTAGAGAAGGAGCAATTTACAAAATTATCCATGTTTCTAATATCTGCAATCTATATTTCTAGACTACAAACATGCTGGTAATTACCCAAAAGATAAAAAATATAAGAAAGGCAAAATTTCTTTTAGCCATATTATATCATCAGGATACAGTCTCTTTTATGTTTCATTTGCAATGGTTTTGAGGTTTTATTTACTAGCCATCATAATATATTCAACACTGAATTCTAGCTTTGTGTGTATGTGTATGTATTATATATATATATACTCACATGTGTATATATATATCCTTCATACCACTCCCTCAGTAAAAAAAAAATTCAATAGGCACCTCCCTTTAGACAGCTCTTCTCTTCTCTTTATCAATCCTGTTTATCTTTCCATCTAGATAAATATCCAAATAATCCACCAAATTGTTCAATGCAAAACCTAGAAGTCATTCATGAAGTCTCACTTAACTTTTCCATCATCTTTTTCATTCAGTTCCTCAAGTCAGTGCTGTCTGCACGTTGAAATACAACCAAAATCCGTCCACTCCTCTCAACCCTATTCAATATACCATTTACTGTTATATAACACTTTTTATGTGCAGTAATAACAAATTATCATGCATTTCATAAGTGTATGAGGGGGAATTTGCAAAGAGGCTGCAAAAGAAAGGTATTTTAACAGATTGGCATTGAGTTGTATTGAGCATCAAGGGAAAAAGGAATATTGTGGCTATCTCAACTTGGTTTCACTGATTTGATCTCTTTCTATCTTGTAGTGCTCCCCTGAAGACTGCCTTTTAGGGTGATGATTCATATTCCTTTCTAACATTCTACATTTCTTTTGTTGTGAACTTTACTTGGTGATAGTTGCAAGTCTCTTCACCACACATGTTGTTTTGCTTTTTCTTTTTAACCTTTTTTATACTTAGTGTATACAAGCAGATGTCAAGTGGAATTTTGCTGCCCTTTTAGATATAGACAACATTAGCTTAACCTCTGTTCTAAGCCCCATTCATTTTCCAAATGTCTTCCAAATATCTGTGAATTTCTGGAGAGCATATAATGACTACACTTCCATTCTCCAATGCCTTTTCTCCCATTCACCCTACAATCTGGTTCAATCAGGCTTTAGCCCACAACCCCATTCCATTGAACTTGTTTGTCTGAGGATTCCCAGTTCTCTCCATTTTGACGAATCCAGTACTATTTCTTGTTCTCATCTTTCAGCAGCACTTGTCTCAATTGATCACTCCTTCTTTGAAATATGTTTTCTATTTAGTTTCAATAAAACCCATCCTACTGATTCTTTTCTTAACTAATTTGTCAGTCTTTTCAAGTCTTCTTGTTTCTCATCATCATTCTTACTTTATATTATTGTAAGGTCACAGGTGTTTGGGTGTAACTTTGTCTAGTCATATTCATTCCTTTGGGATGCCATATGTTCTCATACATCCATGTGGCATCAACTCTCAAATCTATATGTCTAATTACCAAACTATTTTTTCTCAAAAATATTAAATATATTTATCTCTCATAAATTGTGAGTATGCATCAAAATGTCATGTAATTCATTAATGATTAAATCAGTAGAATGATGGAGTTGGTTTTATATGGTTCCAGATGTTACAAGGAAGGAAATATTTATACAGTATTAGAAAAAGCTTTGTCCAATAATAGAGTGGGTTGCCTTACGAGGTAATAAAGTTTCATGATACCAGAAGTGTTTGTGCAAAGTGACTGAAAGACATTTCCCAAGACTTTTTCAGGAAGTTCTTGTTTTAGGTAAGGAGATGGTTAGACAATGGCTGCAGGTTAAATTTCCTGGAAAGGAGAATCTGAGATGGAGTTTAAAGTGCATTATATTTCTTAAGGAGTGCCTTGGGG